CCCCAAAACCCCAAAACCCCAAAACCCCGACATAATAATAATGGCTTTATTAAAAGAAATTAAATTTGAAATTTATTTAAAGATCAGCTTGACCATCACTTTGCTTGTTCTCTTCTTAAATCATCTTATTTTTCAGAGATTGATTCTTTATAAAATTAAGGATTGACACTTTCTTCAGGATAAGGAGCAGCGTAAGCTTGACTCGATTATGATTCTTTGACATTTTCAGGAAGCTTGATCTCAGTTCTGATGTTTGATCTCAAACTATCTTTATTTTAGTTGACTGACCTCTCAACTTCGTATTGATCTGTCAATTTTTAATCCCTTAAAATATCAACTTACTACTTTTCTACCCCATACCTTTGCTATTATTTTGGAGGTAAGGTATAAATGTCAGGCAGAGTCAAGTTACTTTCAAATTCCTCCACAGAATATTCTCTTGAAGGACCCATAAAGTTAGAAGTAGTAGACAATTGAGGATTTGAACTATTAGCTTTTATAAATTCATCAATTTTTTTGGAATCTTAATCTTTTTCATCAAATGTCCTTTTATCCTTCCATTACTGACTTTGGGAATTTTAGACATTTTATATATAAGTAGGTTATGATATCTGATTCTCTAAGTCTAAATTTGAACTTTGAAGATCTCTTGCACTACCTTAATGCTGCTGATATTAAACTTAATTTCTCCCTATGCTTTCTTAATATCTTCGAGCTCTATCTTTTGCTTCTTAAATATAAGCTTATCCTTTCTCTTTTGCTTAACCTTTCACTTCATTTGCAGAATCTTTGGTTCTTTCAGCAATTTGTTGTGCTTTTTCTTAAATTTCTTAGACTTTTCCATTAGCTTATTCAGCTGTTTATTATGCTGAGTATTTAATCTATTCTTTAGCCTAGTTAGCCTATTCTTTTTTTGATTAGACAGTTTCTTTAGCTTTTTGGCTTAGATTTGGCACAGTTTATTTTGAATTATCTTAGAAGCTCTATGCCTTTTCTTTAGCACTATCTATTACAGGTTATATTTTATCTTTTGCTTGCTACATTTTAGGCTCAATTTTTTCTTTAACTTACTAAAGCTTGGGCTCTATTTTTTCTTTAGCCTACTAAAGCTTGGGTTCTATTTTTTCTTTGGCTTACTAAAGTTTGGGCTCAATTTTTTCTTTAGCTTATTAAAGTTTGGGTTCTAAAGTTTCTTTAGCCTACTGTAGTTTAGGTTATATTTTTTCTTTTGCTTGCTATAGTTAGGGCTATATTTTTTCTTTTGCTCCTTAAACTTTAGGCTGAATATATTCATTCGCTTTATCAATATAATCCCCTTCTATCTCTTCTCTGTATTCTTCATACTCTAAAGGATAAAGATTTTGTGATTGATAGGATTATTATTACTGTTTATTAATATCCCTTACTTCAGGTCTTTATTGCTTTTATTAATATTATTCCCATTATTATTGATCCATTTATCCTCTCATTAAATTTTCTTTATCTTTTTATGCAGGAGGCTATTATTGCTCTAGATGTCTCCAAAGCTCTTATCTTATCATCTCACGGATCATATTTTGTTCCTCTTGCAATTATTATTGTGTTCCTTAGAATTGTTAAGGTTTAATCTTTTAATAATATCTCTACACTTTATCTTCTATATCAATATCTCCTTCCTGGCCACCATAATTATCAGCAAATTTATCAGCCTCATTTGATGTTGGATTTAAAGTATCTCTCACAGTGTCTCTAACTTTCGTAATCACTGGTTAGACTTCCTCCTTTGCTTTTTCGTAATAAGGTTTTACTGTTTCTTAAACTTCTTCAATATAAGGCTCAACTTTATTTTTTATTTTCTGGGCGTATGGTTCAAATTATTCCTTTCCTGCTTAATAAAAAGAATCAGCTTTATCAATAGTTTTTCTCGCCAAATCTTAAGATGTCTCAACAGCTTTGCCTATATTAGACTAGCCTGGAGTATCTGAAGTTAGTTTATTGGAAACATTTTGAACAAGTTACCCTGTTTTATCCTTGATGGTGTGTGCCTCATCTCCAACGAAATCTTTAGCTTTTTCGTAGAACTTTTCAGCACCCTCCTTCACAGTCTCAATTTCTTCTTTGATATTATAAGTTGCCGTATTGACAGCCTTGTCCTTAATATAATGCAGCATCTAGGTTTTATAATCCTAAGCCATCTATTCTTGAATTTACCTCTCTCTATAAACATCAGTCTGCTCTATCTTGTTATGAATTTGTTCATTGGCAATAATATCCTCTAGGGGGATATTAGGAGCTGTGGATTCCTGAATCACATGTCGGAGATATTTAAAAGGGTGCCTTAATTTCTCAGTAAATTTATAACTAGTTTTATAATTGTTTTAATCGATTGACAGAGCAGAGTACACATGATGTTGTGAAGAAATATCTTGCTAGTTTTTTTCTGATCCATAGGCCTATGGTGCTTTGTCCTGTGAACCTTGATATTATTGGCTTGACATTTGTGCTTCACTAGATATCTCTAACTCACTAAGATTAATTAGTTTAAGATTTTAATTATACTCAAAATATAGTATTTTATTAAAGTTAATGATAAATGAATATATAACATTTTCGAGTATAAGACATTAAACTTGAACTTATTGATTGAAATTATAACAAGGTTCAACTAAATCAGGAGTATTTTGGGTAAAACCAATTCATAACTTTTGCTTTTCAGGAGTTTCGTCAAGTAATTCTAGATCTTATGGATCATTGAATTATTCAATAATCTTATTTTCTCTCATCCCCGTTGGAGCAGACCAAGATATTTATTTAAAATCTTCATCCTTGTCATCTGGATTCTTTGTTAGCAATTAATTTTTAGAAATAGCAACATTTTCTTCTTATTTTTTCAACTTTTCTAGACTTAATGATTCCTGAGTCTTACTCAAATCATATACATTTTTGGTTAAATTTTTATCTTTTTTGAACATTATTAAATAATTGAATTTCTACAAATTAGTCAAAATTGAACTTAGTGGGGTTTTGGGGTTTTGGGG